TGAAGAGCCGACTCGATCTCCTTTGCTACACCTTGTGGTGTTCCAACGACGTTTTGTGGCTCCTTGGCGTCCTTCTTTGCGCTCTTGTCGATGTATGCACCCGCAGTAAGACGAACCGGAATCGGGCGCTTGGACTTGCTCTTGTAAAAGGTTTTGCCTAAGCATTCTGCGACAATCTTGATTACGCGATCGTCGACCATGAAAACGTCGTACTCAGCGAGGAGTGCACGCTTCTGCTCGAATGCCTTGTATCGCTTCTTTAGCTTGTCCACGCCGAGCACACGTTGCACCTTTCCGCGAAGGGCTTCCGGGAAAGCGTCAGATGCGACAAGGTCTTTGTATGCTCTCTGGGGGTCTTTGGTGAAGATGCATATCCGGACATCGTTTGCGATGATGGGGTGAGGTAGTTTGCTGAGTACTGTTAGCGGTGTGTCGCAAGCGCTGTCATGTGCGAACGTACATGGCTACAGGCTTCAAGCTCTTAGTGTTGCCGATCTGTTTTTTCGTCGCCAGGCTGAGGAAGATGGGCTCGTCAATCTCCTCCGCCTCGTCCTCGTCGGCCGCCAAGCTCTTCTTTGGTGCCTCCTGCTGCTTTTCCTCGACATGCTTCTTCATGTGCGCAACGAGCGCCTTCGCCGCGCGCTCGACTTGCGACGGATCAAGCTGGTAGGGTGTACCATTCGTGGTTTTGGTGGTGAGAGGCGCCTCGGTCGCCTTTTCGGCCTTCTTAGTCAGGGTCTTGGATTTGGCCATTGTTGCTGTGATATGTTTGCGATGTTTCTTGTCGCTGGAAATTCTGGGCTAGACCCTGGACTGAACTTTCCAACTTTTTGCCGGTCATATGGTTTCTCCGAAAGACCGAGACTAATGCGGGGCTGTCTCATTGAAAGCGGAAGGCGAATGGGCATCTTTAACCAATCATCGCGTCGCAGTATCTCCAAGCACACGACAGGTTGCTCATCCTTGCATTGTTACCAGCCGTCCAATATCAATTTCACCTCTCGTTCCCATGCAGTCAGCCGTTTCATCAGCAGCGCGTCAGTGGTACGTATCCGGCGTGGTACATGTGCTGTCATTACTGGCGGCAATGGTTAAGAAACTACCGCGAGATGCATTCACCTCTCGATTATCATTCCAAGTCCTGAGGGATCACGAATATGACAGCAGCTGATGGACTCCCACATGGCTACATGTTCGAGATTTACTGGTTCGTGCTATCGATTGATCGAAGCCATCCGGTCACGGTCGAGCCGAAACGCCGTCACCGTGCGCTCGCCTGGCCATCTTCTCACGACGCGTCTATACCGCTGCGTGTTCGCGTCCGTCGGCCCTACAGCTCCACTTGGGTTACGGACGTGTTTGCTCTCGTGTTAGCTGCGTCGATTGCTGCACAAAGTTTTTCTTTTCACTTGCGTGACGTTTGCCTCCATTCGGGCACAGGCGTAGGACAGTGGGGCAATTTGATCTTTGTGCATGAGCGCGCAGTACCTCAAGATCTTGATACGCGTTCACAGTATGCGTATAGATGCCTTTTGCCCTTTATATTGCACTTTGTTACGGACAGTGACTTTAGCGTAAGGGTCGCACATGGCACAAGTGCATCATCAAGCGTGATTGACTTTGTCTCATCGCGTCAGCTTTAGCAATGATGGTGCGTTAATGTGGAATCGGCTGCAGTGTAGAGGGGCTGGCAGAGCGGAGAAAATCAAGTTAGAGAGGCAGCCGAGGAGACAATGTATGTCATAGGCGTAATAATTGTGCTCGTGCACAGAGGCTGGTGAACGCATGTGGCAGAATATGCCGAACTTTGGGACATGTATAGCGAAAGGAGAGCTGGAAAAGTACAGAAAGATACGCAATCGGATTAGCTGAGACATGCAGAGTGCTTTGCATTTGAAAGGATGTTACAAGAGACATATTGCAAGGGAGCAAGGCGTGGTGAATTTGGGTGCTGGTTCTTACGACGGCCCTAGCTTCATCACGCTAGCCAACCCACACCCGCGTCGCGACGTCTTCCACGATCGCGTTCGTGACTGACCCGTAGTTTCGTAATTGACTTGATGGCCTCCTCCTCCTAACCTACGTCTTTCTTTTTCCATACTGCCGTGTGCCTGCCTTCGCGTCTTCAACACTCCTTCCGCAGCCGCCGGCTCGCTTGTCTCCCTTCGAGACACGTCCACCTTACCCCATAGACATCGACACGCCAGGAGCCTCGCGTTCTAGGAGCTCCGCACACAAGATGGACTTTTCACCCACCAAGACGCTGTCCCAAACCCTCATCGAGTCGACAGAGCCGCACTCGGGGCATGTTCGGAAGCCCACCCCAACTCTTCTTCCGGCCTTCGGCGAGGATGGGCCATTCTCTTCATCGCCATTTCCACGTCCGGCGTCCTCGAAACGCAAGTTCGAAGAGGACTCGCCCACCTTTCCCAAGCAGCTGAAGTATTATCCAACCCCGCAGCCCACGTCGTCGACCAACATTATTTCCTCGTCGCCCCGCCATGCCCGGCCGGGCTTCGAACGCACCTTCTCGGCTCTGTCAGAGAGGACCCCACTCGGTGCTGTGCCCACGCTCGACCTTCCTGCAGACGGCGAAATCGTGAGAATGGGCAGGAGCTCCAACACGTCAGATTACCAGCTCTCTACCAACCGCCTCATTTCACGCGTTCACGTCCAAGCCGCTTATCACGCGCCAAGCCCACCATATCCGCATGGATACATTGAGGTTGAATGTCTGGGATGGAACGGTGCGAAGATCCACTGCAAAGGACGCATCTTCGAGCTGAGCAAGGGAGACACGTACATGTCAGAGAACCCCGAGACGGCCATCATGCTCGATGTACAGGATACCCGCGTCATGATTGCTTGGCCATCTATCCCTGTATCAAAGTTTTCTTGGGAATCCGAGGAAGAAGGCATGCCTACTCCGACTCGCAACCGTACCCAAGAGAACATCTGTTCCAGCCCTCCTGTTGTTCCACGGTCACCTGTCTCGCAGAGCCCGATTCGCCCTCCCGTCTTCGCCGGCCTTGGCACCAACCTGCAATCTGGCCCCGTTGAGGTCTTCGAAGATGCCGATGCCAGCGCGGATAGCCCTAGCATTGCCACCCCAGGCTCTGCAGACCAGACCTTTATCCACCCCTCTCTTCCAAGCTCCAAGTCTAGCCATGAAGTACGTCCTGTTGTCGATCTCAAAGAGAGTGTGAACTTCGCCGCCGACGACTTCTCCGACAATGATGAAGAAAACGATCCTGTTGTACACTCCTTTGGACCCTTCGGTGAGAACCTCCTCAGTGGCATGGCCTCGTTCAACACAGCTACGCCAACGCAATCAAACACTCCACGTATGCGCGGGCCACTACTGTCGCCGTCCCCCAAACGTCGCGTTACTGAGCCTATCCGATACAAAGAGTCACCGATCAAGAACCATGTCATCAACCAATTGGCATTCTCACGTATTCACTCTCAACCATTGTCCGCTATTCACAGCAACCTTCCAGCTGAATTGAAGGCCTGTGTGAACAAGGGCACAATTGGCAAGGATGAAGAGGGCACTGGCACATCGACTCCCCTCCCTGAGCTCTCTAGAAAAGAGTTGAAGAGGATTCTGGATGACACTCCCTGTGTTGGTGAGATTCCTCGTGCTGGCAAAGATGCTGCTGGGCAGCCCCTCGAGAACGAATTCTACTATGTCCCTGAGATGGACTCCAACCAAATGAGGCGCGAGACCATTACAGCTGGCACTCGCAGCACCGGACTGCGGTCTGTCAGGAAGACGCACAAAGTACGTAGTACGCCTGCTTACCCACGCAATCCCCCACTGACTATTCTTAGCAATATTATTGGAAGAAACCCCGCGTTTGAGCATCTCTATCAAAGACGTGCGTCACGCACCAGTCAACAGATTACTTCCCACCACCTGTCACGTCTGCTCCTTATTTCACTGCGGCGCTGCACACGATAAGCACGTCTCGAACGCCAAAGTCTGTATCGACCGCCCATATGATACGTACACCTTTTTGGATTCTTGTTTTTGTATGCATAGCGAGGCGTTACGATACCATTTTCACGCTCCTCGTTGTATCTCGGAGTTTTAAATTTAACTTTCTCAAGTTTGCGTATGCTATTCTTTTTTCTGGAGTAAGTGGCTTGTTGAATCAAGCAAATGTCTGTTCTCTTCCTGCTAGATACGACGTCCTACAAGGTCGGCATCTCCGTTCTATATTCTCGGTGGCGCTTCTGGTTATGGGGGATTGCGGATACGGACACTGCTGTATTGACGGGTGGGACTTCGGTAATAAGCTATTGCGGTTATCACGATTACGATATCAAAGCGCTTTCGCCTACGCGGCGGAGTATGAAGTGTATCCAAACTACCGAAGAGAACCACGGTCAGCGGTGGGCGTTTTGATCTTGCATATACGAGTGTTCACTATGCGAGCAGGAGGGAGTTTGTGTGTACTTGTATATTCAGAATGCTTTGCAATAAAATCCATCAAAAGTACAAAAGTTGTCGCGTGTTGATGTGACGATCCCTATGCGAACGTGACATTCATAACTCCGTCAAGGCTTCGTGTGGCCTGGAATAATCAAAACTGATCAATCGCAACAATGGTTCCGATGGCAATTTTCTTGCAGTGTCCCTAGAGGATCGCTCACCGCACTGTGGGCAGTATGGTTTGTGACGTCATACATGGTGCGATCGTGACGCGATCTCACGTGACCTGCCTCCATCAGGTAGAACAACATTACAAAATCACGCTGTAGCAGGGGAGGAAGAATCGAAGCTGGTGGTTTTTGAATTTGAATCGATTCACTCTACATGCCTGGTTCCCTTCATAAAGTCTCAAATGCGAGACAAGACAAGCACTCCATTGATGCCATGTGCCGTGGAAGAAGTAGTAGTGACCTAGCCCTCATATCCATCGCATGCAATCGTTGCAATTCGTATCCACCAACCCCGTTGCTCTCTTCGCCAGATGCCGATAGAAGCGAGTAGTTTACTTCAACTTCTTCTTGGGGCGGAGCTGGTTGGTGTGACCGCACTTCTTCTTGCGCTGTGGTCTTGTTAGTTAAGGTCCGATACCATGTCCGTTCTCCTTGTTCGATCAAGGAATGGAGTCGTGGTTATGACGTACGCAGTTGACAGCCCTCGGTGGCAGACGTGCGTAGCACTTGCGGCAGATCATCTTGTCGCAGTTGTACTTGGAGGCAAGCGCCTTCAGCGAAGGCTCAATGATACCACCACGGAGACGGAGGACCAAGTGGAGGGTTGACTCCTTCTGGATGTTGTAGTCGGACAGAGTGCGGCCATCCTCGAGTTGCTTTCCGGCGAAGATCAGGCGCTGTTGGTCCGGGGGAATGCCCTCCTTGTCCTGGATCTTGGACTTGACGTTGTCTACCCATACTGTCAGCCTAAATCCTCCTTCTTCGGTGTCGCCATGCAAGCGCCGAGCGATGCGGTGCGGTGCGTTGCGTTGCCGTCGTGTGGCGCTGGGATTTGCGTACCGATGGTGTCACTGCTCTCGACTGCGAACAAGTTAGTGCATGCTCTAATACATTCTGTGCGTATGATATATACCTTCGAGCGTGATGGTCTTGCCCGTCAGGGTCTTCACGAAGATCTGCATCTTTGGCGGTGTTGCGAGTGTTCCGTGATCTCAGGATCGAAGTCGAGGGCGAAGGAAGACGAATTCCACACACTGTGTGGGTGTCTGTGCGGCGCGACTAGGCTGGTCGGCGTTAGCGTGCTCCCGATGCCCCTCGCGTGTGACGCCTTCCCCAACCGAACTGACACCCATAACAGCAACGAACATCTGCAATTTCTTGCGGAAGATAGACCTTCATCATGTATTACATCCTTGTCTTGAATTTTGTAGAAGTAAAAACTAGTATTACATACGCGGCGCGCGGACACTTCATCAAGCTTGCTTCTTCTGTGCCCTTTTCCACTGTTCAACCCTTGCCTCTGTGAAAACCACTGCCAAAGTGAGCATATTCACAGATAAGCCAGCTATCTTTGCAGCTTGTTCGTATAGGATCTTCGCTGCGTCTGGTAAATTTTGTTCCATCTTCCAGATTGGATACGCCTGCCCTACCCTAAGTACCCCGGTGTCCTCAGCTACAACTGGCATCGTATTCATCACGCCATGAACTGCCTTCACGACCTCTAATCTCTGACCTAGAGGAATTCCACAGGATAGCTCCTGTGGGGGATGTTGTGCCTCATTATCGATAGAGAAAATGTCGTACAACGCGTTTCGAAAATCATCAATGTCCCTGGTGCGTTGTATTTCAGCATTATCCAGAAATGTACTGGCGTAGAAGTCCAGATACTGGTCCATATCTTGGGGTTCCATTGATAACATGTCCTTCTCCTGTAGCTTTGTCAACTGTTCGGTTGTAAAGCGTCCGTTGTCTCCTCGCCTCGATTTCTCAGCGGCCTGCATCTGCTCGCACCACGCCTGCCAACTCATCACCGCTGCCGTTGGTTCCGATGATGACTTTGGATAACGCTTCTCATCATCAAGTGGGTAGAGTACTTTGATACATATGATGAGGCAGCTCACCAGTTGCGCCTCGGCAAGATGCCGTATACCCAGACGTTTCTTACCGCTGTAGTGGGGAGCAAAATCGTAGCCCAGCAAGTCGCCAAGACGTCTAGTTGCATCATACAGCTCAAGTGGTAAGGCGAGCTCTTTTAAATAGCGGAATAGCAAAAGCGGCACGTTGAGAGCCGGCCAGGTTATACCATGGTCTTTACTGTAGCTGATTTGCAGGTCTGCGAGTGTTTTGTAAAATCGTGTGTGAGTGAGCGGTGCGCTTGGATCAAGAACAGCGTGGTAGGCAGGTGGCAGCCGATCTCTCATGGTGAGTGGCAGTAGCTTGATTGCCCTTCGATATGCCAAATGCCCATCGGTAGCCCATGCATGGATGTCGCCTGGCGTAAATGGCAGCCTTAGTGTCATGATACCAAGATAGCATAGAACTAGACAGTCGTTAAGATTGGGTGCTGCCGACAACCTCAAATTTCTCTTTTCCTTTGCATCTCGGAGGTGACCTTTCTCATTGTCTGTAGAATCATCCTCGCTCTCCAGAGTGCTGAAAACCTGCTGCTGAGATTGGGATTCTGACGAGTCTTCGTCATGACTCGCAATCCTGTCTCCAAGTTGGGCGATACGCAGTGCCCAGAGATCGCGCGTGACGGCTTCAAGTTCAATTGGCAATCCTCGGTCTTTTACGAGATACCAAAGCTGATGTCGCAGAATCAGTTGCAGACACTTCAAATACAGGTCAAAAGCTCGAGGACCCTTGTAAATCCTGCCAGTCGATTTGTCGTCTTCTTCCGTCTCTTTCTTTTTGCGCGTGACTGTTCGGGCAGCTCCTACGTAGTCATCATCGTCTTCTCCGCGGACTAGCCCCGCCTGTTGGTGGCCATTTTGACAATACAAGTAACCGTCTTCGCCCTCCTCGTAGCGTCTAGACCTGCAGTTTTCGACGCCACAAACGGGGCCTTTAGTCGACATGAAGTAGGCTTGAGCGTAGTCGACAATTCTATCGCGACAAGGTTGATATGATGAGGAGTTGAACTTGAGCAGGCTGCATGCCGTTGTGCGCTGAGTTGTTCATGTTACAATGGCTTTACAGATCGCTTTGCAAGTAGAAGTTCGCCAGCCACTAGCGCGGATCCGGGAACCAGTCACACGAATTTTCTACCAATGAGAAAGACGACAATTGCCGTAAAGTCATCACCTTTTATTCATTGCCAGAAGCGTAAGGGATATATCTAGGAAGGGAAATGAATCGTAATACGTTTCCCACACATGGCAATGCAAGGAACCCAAACCCGTCCGAAGAACCTCGTGCATTGGTCGCCTAGTGCAAGCTAATTGCACGGGAGAATGCTACGCTTGCCGCGGAGCTACAACTTTGCACACGATATGCAAAGAGTGTCGTAGCTCCGTTCGTAATCTGTCTGCAATCCGCGCCTTGCTTCCTGCTAAACAGTCTACGTATTGAACGATGCGCTTATTTGGGAGCCTCCTTGGCGTCGATGCAGGCCTCCTCGCCCATAGCAGTAAGGATAATGACGTCTGGTAGCATGTCAGTGTGGTGCACGGAGGCTTTTTCCGGGTTAGAACTTACTGGTGTCCTTGCCGTCCTGGTTGAACATCTTGTCGATCTTGTCACCAACCTCGCCATCGGGGACCTTGACGTCGTCCTTGGTGGAGCCGTCGTCGGACATGAGGGAGAGGAAACCGTCGTCAGTAACGTCGAGCTGGATCTTGTGTTAGCCTAGACTTGGCAATGGGCGACTGGGGCCACTTACGAGCTGGTACTCGCGACGGGTGACGTTGGGAACGTCCATGTTGTGGGTGGAAGGGCAGAGATCTTCCAACTTCTTCTGGGTGAAGATGTCGATGGCGACCAAATGGACCTTGGCGTGACCGTGCTTTCCGGTCTTGGAGGTGGTCATCTCGACAATCTTGCAAGGGCGGTTCTTGATGCAGACGAAACCGTTCTTCCTCAAGGCAGAACACTGCATGGGGTAGGTAAGAGAGGCACCCGCATCGGCGCTGTCGAAGGTGTGCTCATGCTAGAGACGACAGAGTCAGTACAGGGCGTGACGAAGAGGCGCGAACGTGGAAGTCGCCTGGTCGCAGCTGGCGACAGTGCTCCGAAGGGTGGGGTAAAGAGCACATGCGGGGCTAGTATCCGCGGAAACGTACCTGCGCGTCGTTGTCCGCCATGGTGATGAATGAGAGTTGGATGCGACGGTGAGGAAGATTTCGAGTTCGGGCTGCTGGTCGAAGAGCGGTGGGGTGGGCAGAGTCCTTAAATGGGAGATGGAGAGAGAAGTCTTTTGCGTGGGCAAAATTGGGCAGGCGCGGAGGGGAAGGTGGCGCTAGCAGATCCCTGTCTAGTTCGCGGATTAAACAATCGCCGGCGTCCTTATGTGAATCCAAGGTGCCCTGCCATCGTCCACGACGCCAACATCTAGTACCTGATTCTTAAGCGACTGACTGCGACTTGGTAGATATCATGTGGGGCTTGGATGGGCTCTCGTCGTACTCGACACCCGCCGGCATGCCGCCTCCGCGACGCGATTCCCACTCGCCAGCTCCTCGAAGGGGCTACCCAGCTCCGGCGCAACCTGTCAGACCGGGGCTCAATCCACGATCGTCTTCGCTGACACCCCTCATATCGCCCAATGCGTCGACTGCGAGCCTGCCTCTATCCGCGCGTATGCCAAATGGAGGACTTCGTAGGCGGCAGACAGGCGGCATCCCTCCCAACGTGCCAGATCCCATACACGTGTTAGAGTCCATCATGGGAGGGCTACCACGCAACTCGTCTGCGACGAATGGGGAAGAGGTAGCGCGTACATCTGGAAAGCCTGACGAGGTAGAGGAAGATATTGAATTTGGGGAATTGAGCTTGCACGATTTCGTAGCGGTCAAGACTGCAGAACGACAGCAACCCACTTCTGTACATACATATAGTACGCAGTCAGTCGAAGAATGTACGTGTTCATGTTCAGGGTCGCAAGTCTTTGCTCATTGTGTCTGCAGATGACAAAGACAAAGACAAGTTTGAGGACCTGCACAAATCTATATTGGCGTGCGACGAGGTACTCAAGTCGGTCGAGGCAAACCTGACCAACTTTCAGTCCGATCTCGAGGCCGTTTCTGCCGAGATAGAATCACTCCAGAACCGATCTATTGCCTTGAACACCAAGCTGGAAAACCGTAAGGTGGTTGAGAAGCTTCTGGGACCGGCGGTGGAAGACATCAGTATATCACCAGCCGTCGTGCACAAGATCGCCGAAGGCCCGGTCGACGAGGGTTTTGTGCGCGCCCTTACAGAGGTCGAGAAGCGGTCCAAGGCGGTCAACGATAAAGCCAAAGAGAACCCAGAGTTGGCAGCCATAAAGGACGTTAAACCACTGCTAGACGATCTCATAAATCGCGCAGTCGAACGAATACGAGACTATATAGTTGCTCAGATCAAGGCCATTCGCTCACCTTCTATCAATGCGCAGATTATCCAGCAGCAAGCATTCCTGAAATACAAAGACTTGTATTCTTTCCTGGCGAAACATCAGGCAGAGCTTGCACAACAGATAGCACAGGCATACATATATACCATGCGCTGGTACTATCTCAATCATTTCAGCCGATACAGATCAGCGCTTGAGAAGATCAAGGTACACGCCATGGATAGGTACGACGTACTGGGTGAAGATCCCAGCGCTAGAAGGACTGGAACTTTGCTCGGTCAGTCTCGAAACGCACCAGTTGCCTACGACGCTTTCTCACTCGGACGACGCCGCGATGCACTGAAGAGCTCTTCCGTCAATGCTTTACCAGCCAATGTCGCCGAAGATGAAAAATCACCCCACTATTTGGAGGTGCCTTTCCGCAGCTTTAACCTCGCACTCATCGACAATGCATGCTTCGAGTATACCTTCATTTCTACATACTTCGCTCCATCGCAAAATTTCCATGCGATCTCGCGGACCTTCAACTCAATCTTCGAGCCTACGCTAGCAGTTGGGCAAGCGGTTACAAAATCGCTTGTGGAAGCAACAACGGATACACTTGGGATACTGCTTTGCGTACGACTAAACCAGCACTTTGCATTCGAACTCCAACGCAGGAAGGTTCCAACAGTCGAAGGTTACATCAACGCGACAAACATGCTGCTATGGCCACGGTTCCAGCAGGTTCTGGACATGCACTGCACGTCGCTCCAGAAAGTCACAGCGTCTCTGCCAGGCCGCCCGTCAACCGGGGCTGCGTTGCTTGGCTCTAGCTCGTCCAATGCAACCTCTACTGCGCCAACACCTCTCACACAGAAATTCGCAAACCTACTCCAAGGCATATTGGCCCTCTCGTCGGAAGCAGGCGATGATGAACCTGTCAGCGTATCTGTGGGTAGACTGAGAAGTGAGTACGAGGCCTATCTTACGAAACTGAGCAAGGGTACTAGCGACGCACGGAAGAGAGAACGTTTCTTGTGCAACAACTATAGCTTGGTATGTACGATCTTGGCAGATGTTGAAGGAAAACTTGGGGAAGAAACGAGGGTACACTTCGAGAAGCTGAGAGATGCTTTCGACAAGTAGGCTAGTTTTGAGAATCATCCAGGGACTTGTACTACAGGCCAACAAAGTTTCTCAATAACGCTTTCCAGTTCATGTGACTCTTCCATACGTTAAGCACACGCGTACAACCTGCTCTACCCGTGGTCAAATCTATGTGTTTGGGACTTTTATCTAGAGTGTTTCTTTTATTCCATCTCTGTTCAGATCTGACTTCAGAACATGCTACGTCACTCGCTAGATGATATACAATCACTCCTCTAACCCATGAGTGGCGCCCAGTCCTTAGCAGCCTGCTCGCTGAAGAAAGGCTTGACGTAGGTTCCCTTGCCAAGAGTGAAACCCTTGCTTCTCAACAGCATGTACATGGCGTTCAGGTGGAAGTAACCTGATCCATGTCAGCATTCGGCCTACGCGCAGCTAACACGGGAACACGACTTACCGTTCGGTACAGCAAAGCTGTTGTAGAAATCAGCCGTGCTAGTCATCTTCAGTGACTTGCCAGCAACACTGACTTCGAGGCCCTTGTCGGCACTCTCGTTGAAAGCCTTCTCATCAACAGCATCATAGACAGCAATGAGCTGCTTGAAGAAGTTGATGAGATCGTCAATGGACGAGAAGGAAGAAGGGTCCATGCTCGGGGAAGAAGCCGAGCTGAGCTTGTGTTGGTTGATGCCTTCGAGAGAGAACTTGGCGACGAGAATGGGCTGCATGCGTAGGGGAAGCATGTCACCGATCTGTGCGTTCAGTAGGTCTGCACCAGAGGGCAGCGAGGTGTTCTTTGACTGCTCATCTTTGGCTGCTGTAAGGAAGCTGACGGCGCTCTTAGCAGTGCCGCGAAGTTGAGGGATGGTGGCCTGGTAGAAGGAGTATGTAGACATCTTGGCTAACGTTTATAGATTACGTGGGAGACGTGTAAGAGTAGGAGGGGTTGCAAAGTTTGGAGGGATATGTAAACGGTTGAAGTACGCTTAAAGACTTGTAGAGGTGGATACTAGAAAAAGAAGAAAGGGCGATCGCCCGAGCTATTTGTATGTACCCGTAGACTTTGCCCTACAACACTCGCTCCTCGCGTTACACGTCGGCATATTATTTACCCCTCGATCCTCGTATTGGATGCCGGCCCATTATTTGTTGTTAAACCCGATCCGTTGATCTCGTCTCAGACCCATAGAATGCATATCGCCGCGGTATGCCCGAGTGGGCTCAGCCCTTTAGCCTACCTAGTACTATAGCGGTGTGAGCCGGTAATGAAGGCCTACATAGTGTCTCTCGAAGTCAATACTTGTTAAGCCTGGGACCGAGTAAACGACATGAACATCGACATATAGTGTCTTTAAGACCTGGGCGAGATAACATGAAGCGTAACTTAATTGTATGTAGCCTGAGGTGGTGAAACCGGAGGGCGGGCCTTTCCGCACTAGCACTGCAGGACATCTGCGCACGGACCGCGGAAATTCTACACTCGCCACCACAGACCTCGGCGCGTACATATGGACAAGCCGGACTACCTCGCATCCGATACAGTAATAGCTTACACATCTTCGGTGCATACCTTGTTCGGTTTCTGATTGAACAATCAACACCCTGAGCACCGAGCATGGCCAAGCGGAAGCGCAGCGCAAATGCGCAAGCTCAGGTCGTGAAGAAGCAATCCACAGCGGGCATTCCAAGTCCACCACAAGAGGCGAATCCACTCGAACCAGCAAGCGTACACTCTATAATCTCGTCTGAAGAGATTGAGGTCGCTATAGAGACACTACAGACTTTATCTGCGCATCCGCTCCTGATCAAGTCAAAAGCGTGCAAGGACCTTAGGACTGCCGTATACGATTTTCGTCAAGCATGTACTACTGGCCTGAATTCGGCTGGTACGTCTGATATCTTGAGCTTCGGAACCAAAAACTAAGTGTGAGAGTAGATGGCAGCAACCTCACTGCGCGCATATCAGGTGCACTTACAGACGCCAAATACACGGAAGCCCTGATCTTATTGGCGGAAATGAAGATTCGAAAAGAGACTCCGACGCTGGGCGCTCTTTGTCGATGGGTACGTACTCTGGACGTTGTTTCCGGGCTCTCGATTCATGTGCAGGTCCCTAGTCACGAAGTGGTTGGTAAGAATGCGCAAAATGACGAGTTAGTCGGAGTGTTGGATTCAATTCTAAGAGTCACGGGTCCGACGGACTCGACAGCTCATGGCACAGACATCGCATCAGGCATCTCATTACAAGACACTTGGGATCTGCGAGGTACCAACAAGCCTACTCGTCCGATAAGGCGAAGCGTTGAGGACAAGAGCATCTTCAAGACATGCTCCCCGGATCTTAAAAACCGCTTTCGCATTATCGAAACTACACCTGGACTCCAGCGCAAACCGCCAAATCTTCATCCCGCAATCTTGTACGCTTCCCAAGACGACGCTGTGCTGCTTGGCAAAGGACCCAAAACAGAGTGTTTCAAGCACCCAATCGTGCCTAATCTTCGCCTGATCAAGGACGTGCTTTCTCCAGAAGAATGCTCCGCTATCATCGCGGCTGGAGAAACTATAGAGTTCATACCAGATGCCCCGATGCGACCTCAAGGTGAAGATACGAGTGTGCTAGCACACAACTTCTACTGGATCGTCGACCAAGCCTTCCACGACAAGCTCTGGGACAGAGTGAAGGGCTTTGTGCCGGAGAGCGTGGCTGGCAAGAAAGTGCGAGGTATTAACCGACGCTTCAGAGTGTATAGATATGTGCCTGGTGCGGAATATCGCATGCATATTGGTAGGTGATTCATCGAAATCAACTCGAGTATATTCGTTGACTTCAATAGACGGCGCATGGCCACCTTCTGGTATCGACCCTGTCACTGATGCCTATCAGTATGATGCATCACCGGCCAACGCTCGCCAATCCTCTCTCTTCACGTTCCTTATCTACCTTAACGATGAGTTTAAGGGTGGCGAAACGACTTTCTTCATCCCAAGTGTCAAGGAAGGTGTTATCAACGCCTACCCAGTCAAACCTATCATGGGTAGTGTTGCAGTATTCCCGCACGGCGAAGCCCAAGGCGCAATCCTTCATGAGGGCACTGGAGTTGTTGAAGGCGCAAAGTATGTGATTAGAACGGATGTTGAATATGACGTCGATAGCACGGCATGAGGAATCGTGTTACGTCTTATGCCACAAGATTTTCAATTTCATTACATTGCAGCATACAAAAACCGTCACATAGGTTGCAGGAGTTCATGGAGGCAACGGTGATTGAGCCAATGTGGCAGACAGAATCCATATCATCATTTCCAGTCATCCAGAACGTGCTACATACTCATGCTAAGCCTCAAGTCCCGACCCGATACCCTTGACAATAACCATACACCCAGTCATATTTATATACCTTGGTCCAAAGAATTTTCAGATGCCGTCCAACGCCCCCTAGTAAGAAAACAGAAACCTAATAAGCCTGCGCGACACCACTGACAGTCCTTTGCTTCATGCCGCCCCACGCACCACCGCGTCCCTCTTCAGCAATCTTCCCACTGACATCCCTCCTCCGCCCTGGCATACCCAGGTCTGAATCATCAAACTCGTATGGGTTGATGTAATCTACACCAGACCGGCTGATCACTCGCGGTGACTGTCCCTTGACGGGAGTGTAGTTCGCCTCTCCGGTGCGCTTGATACTCGTGTAACTCTTCTTGTGAAGAGTAAATGGCGAGTTGGTCAAATTATGCTGCGGAACAGGCGGAGGAGTGTTGACAGCGTACTGCTTGGTTGCGCTGGGGAACTGGTTTGGCTGTTGGCGGAAAGAAGATCCCTTTGTTGGGGAGCTGGACGGAGAGTTTGAGGGCGAGTTTGCACTTCGGACACCTTCAGTTGCAGCTTTCAGGTTACCGTAGTAGCGCGATTTCGGTGTACCGGAACGGGAATGCGAGCGATCGAAGGTCTTTTCGGTGGAGATTGATGTCGTGGTCATGGTACGCTGAAGACCGGATGGCGGGGGCGTGCTCTTTTGGTTGTTCTCCTCGAAGGCGTCGGTCGGTGGGGGAGAGGGTAGAGGAGAGGGCGGGTTCTGGCTGAGAGGGTTCATACGCAGAGGTTCGGGAACCATGGGTACCTCGGCTTCGTCCTCCATGTCAGAGACGTCTTCATAACGTGAGATAGTATTGTAGCCATTTTTACCATTCGTCGAGAACATTGACTGTTTGGGCGGTGGGGATAGGTGATTGTCGTCGTACTCGTCTTCCTGATCAGGATGCACGAACCAGTTGTCATTCTTGAGGCTTTGTTGGGAGTTTCGCTGAAGAGAAAGATCGCCGGACGCTTCTTGTTTCAAAGACCGTGCGGTGGCCGGACGACTGTGGAAGTCTTGTTTCGACGAGCTGTTGATGTACGAGTCGGTTCGGGAGTGTCGCTTGATATTAGCTTGCTGAGAGAGCATAGACTTGCGTTGAGCCAGTGTCTGGTTATCTTCATCCTGGCTAAGTAGGTCTTCACGAGTGTTGAGCTCTTTGCGGGACTGGTATGCGGATGGAGGCTGAGAGTACATGGAAAAACGCTCCCTGGATTGGCGCGCCGAAGCAGGCGTATGAGGGGAGTATGTGGTCTCCGAGTCTGTCCGCGTGTGCATGAAAGCAACTTGACTTTTGCTGGGGCTTGGGATTTCGCTGTAGATGTACGAAGGAGTTTTCGAATCGCGATCTCCAGAAATAGTGCTCTGATCGCTGAATCGCTTTTCCTGATCCGAGGTAAGAGGTGTGATGGCGGAGATGGAAGAATTCTTGTGCTTGTGCTTGGTCCTCCTACGCGAGGTCAAGTTGTCCTCAAGTGGGTTCATGTCCGGTGGCAGCTTTGAGATCTTTCGGAACAGGATAGCCAGGTACATGTCAATGACGGCTGAGATCAGATGTAAACCTCCAGTGACAATGGCTGTGATCCATGTTGTCATCAAAACTATGTTCGTCTCATTGTCTGTAGGAAACATAGTGCGCCAACGCCCAATTGTTGCAGCCGTTTCATCGGAGTTACGGCGAGCCAT